CCCCTCCCCTGTACTCTGTGACTCCCCACGCCCCTCCCCTGTACTCTGTGACTCCCCCTCCCCTCCCCTGTACTCTGTGACTCCCCACGCCCCTCCCTCCTCTCTGCTCCCTGATCCCTCATTCCCATATTTTCCTGTCCTAGATTATCTGTTCTATGCCCTAAAATTTTTACTTTTTCTTTGATGGCAATTTTATTTTATTTTATTTTAAAGTGTTATGGGGAACAAATATTTTTGTTAAAAAGTCAATTAGTATGTTAATAATAATTAACATTTTCTTTCTAATTCTACTAGAAAGGAATTTATCTGAATTCCTTTTTGGTACCTCTTCTGAATATTTATCTATAAGGCAAGCTACCATCATTATTATCATTTTTCATGATTTCTCTGCCTTGTTTAGGTATTTATTCTTCCATATGTTGTTTGGGAATTTTTTTTCTAACTTACAAAGCTGTTAGAATTCTAACTAGAGCTGCACTGAATGTACATATTGATTGTAGAAAAATTTATATGTTTAATATTAAATCTTTGCATAAAGATAATATGACTTTTCATTTGACTAATTAATTCTTCAAAAGATTTTATAGTGTTTTAAAAGTAAATATGCCATTATTCTCATTAAAATATCTCACTTTTTATTAAAAATACTAAATATTTTATTTATTTATTATTGAGAATTATATATTATCCCAATTTTTGATGTTAATATCTTGTGTGGAGAAATATAAGTGTTTTTTTCTTTATTTATCTTATCTTTAGCTCCTTTGTCAAGTTCTTTGGATCTTTTAGAATCATTTGTGATTTCTAAAGACACAGTGCCATCACCTTAGAAGAATCTTTTGTTATCTTTCTAAGGTTTACAATGATTTTTGCCTCCACTTTACTCAGGTTGCCTGAAGTTACCAACATTCACCACGTAAATTCCGGTTGATGAAAAATTTTACCATTATCCCAGAGTTCTTAGTTTTTATTTAGATTCAGAATTTTGTTTCATTTATTTATTTAGATTCCTTTAGTTTTCTTGTTTGTTTTTTGAGAAAGAGTCTCACTGCTTTGCCCTTGGCAGTGTGCATGGCGTCATCACAGCTGACAGCAGCCTCAAAATCCTGAACTCAAGTGACCCTGTTGCCCAGCTTCCCTAGTGGCTGGGATTACAGCCACAATGCCTGGCTAGTTTTTCTATTTTTAGTAGAGATGGGGTCTCATTCTTACCCAGGCCGATCTGGAACTCAGGAGCTCAAGCAATCCACCAGCCTCAGCCCACTGGAGGATTACAGCCCTGAGCCACCACTTTCTTATGTGTTTATTGGGCAGCTCGTTACACTTACGTGGTCTCCTCCTTTTCTCATTTGCCTGGAATCTTTATCAAGGTTGGTGACTACATTTTTATCAAATGCCTTTTCAGAGGCTTTTGATGTAACCAGCCAGATTCATCTTCTTCAACTACCTGATCTAGAGAATCATGATCTTAGTTTTCTCAATTCTGGTAAGATCCCTGTTTGATAAACTAGATTGGGACTTTTAATACATTGCTAGTTATATTCTGTAACATTTTATTAGAATTTTTAAAATTTATAATTACAGTGGGATTGAGTTCCAGTTCTCTTGTTTATCAACTGTGCTAGTCTTATATGCTAGACTCACGAAATGAATAGAAAAGCTTCTCAAGTTTTCTGTGGTCTAGAAAAATATAAATGATATTAAAATGATAATTTCTTTAAATTTTTTTTTTCCTAATTCAGCTATAAACATCTGACTGGGACCTTTTCTGTGGAAGATATCAAAATACATGTCTACTTTCATTTAGGAAAGTTGAGCTATTCAACATTTTTTAATCTTTGGCCATTTTTATTTGGATAAGATGTCGTCCAGGTCCTCTGGGCTTTTAAGTTTCCTGACTAGTTAAGCTGTGTTCTGATTTGCCTTTAACATTTCTTGCATCTGTTATATCTCTTTTCATGTTTGTAATCATGGCATCCTATGCTCTATTTTTTCCTAAATTAGGGTTCTGAGAAGTTCAATTTAATTTTATTAATCTTTTTAAAGAACCAACATTTGACTATAGTTGATTATTATCTATATTTTCCCTATTTTATTGGCTTCATTTCTTTTTTTGTCTTTTTAAATTATTTATTCTGGCTAACTGTAATTTATTTGATATTTATCTTTTAATTATTTAAGATGAATAATTAAATGAACTATTGTGTTTGTCTGCTTGTTTGTTTTGTAATGAAAGTGCTTGAGACTATGCTGTTGCCTGAGGTAAGCTTTTGCTATATAACCTATGGGTTTTGATCCGTAAGAATTCCCTTTTACTTTTTTCCTGGAAAATTATAATTTTAGTATGAATTTCAAGATTGAAAAATATATTTAGACAGTACAGTTTTGATGATGTTAAATATTTAATGTTCACTTGTAATTTTTAGGTGATTTAATATGTATGATTAGATAACAAGGCTGATTAAAAACTTTCCTTAAAAAAATTAACACAGATATTCTTGTTAGCCAAATAAATGATTGATTTTTGTAACCATTCCATGAACATTTTTTAAAGTGCATTCTCAATTTGAGGATTGTAAGACTACATATGTTTTAATTAAAATCTCTCAGTACAATTATTATCAGGTATAGAGTTTATGGTGTTGTTAATATGTACATCTGACAGTACCATCCCATTCCTTTGAAGGCTACTTTCTTCTGTCTTAGTTAATCTACATATTTTATTTTACCCTCTATTTCCTGATGATTATCTTCCCATTTTATACATATATATGATTCTTCTCCAAATATTTCTTTATTTTATATGAATATTATTTTTAATGTGTGTACTATCATATCATCATCATAAACAAAATGTTCTTTAATGTTCAACTTCTTTTTTTTTTTTTTTTGAGACAGAGCCTCAAGCTGTCCCCCTGGGTAGAGTGCTGTGACATCACAGACAAAGCAACCTCCAACACTTGGGCTCAAGCGAGTCCCCTGCCTCAGCCTCTCGAGTAGCTGAGACCACAGGTGCCTGCCACAACATCTGGCTATTTTTTGGTTGCAGCCATCGTTGTTTGGCAGGCCCAGGCTGGATTCAAACCCGCCACCTTAGGTGTATGTGGCTGGCGCCTTAGCCACTTGAGCCAAAGATGCCAAGCCAATGTTGAACTTCTCAACTGAATATTCAGTGATATTCACAATGTCTGGGTTTCAACTTAGCCACATTTAAGCTCTAAGAACTTGATTTTAACTTTGTGAACGCAAAGACAGCTGTCACTGGAATTAACTGACTTCTTCCTGCAACTTTGAATAGCAAAGGTATCAAATTCACATCATTCAGTAGTTACCTCTTGAAGGTAAAAGACTCAGTAGTTAACAATTACGACTTCATTTTTCATAGACATGTATACACAAAAAAACTTACAATTGCAAATGACTACCTTTAATTTAGAAGAACCATCATTTGATGTATAAGAGCTACCATGTGATGGAAATGAAAGATAAAAAAATGAATAAGGAAACACACCTTATCTGTTGTAAGTGCAAAATTTTAACAAACTAAACTTTGAAGTAATACTGATGTTTCTTAGCAGATTTGTGCCCTGTGGTTTTTATAAGGCTATCATATCACTAATGTTCTGATAAATATTGGCAAATGCATTATGCAAATTATATAATCATCTCAACTTTTTAAAATGAAAATTTAGGGATAAATTTTCCACTAAAGGTGCATCTATAATTTTGAGTTATTGCTTCTGAAAGTTTATTTAAAAAAATTTTTAAAAACATTAGTGAATAATAAATTAATACTTACATGTTTATACAATCACCCAGAGAAAAGTATTCATACTATTCTATACACACAGGAGAGTAACAGCTCAGCCCCATTCCCTCCACTATCCCAAGTAGAATGTACCTATAATTCCCTACATGTCCTTCCTTTGCCTCTGCTCACTGGCAGTGTTCTGGCTTTGTGCACCTTATAAGCAATAACCAGCAGGAAGAGCAGCTTTGAATCTTTCTCCCTTTATCCCTGGTGATCAGAGGTACCACATGCTCTAGGTCTCTCAGCACACTTCCCGTTACCTTGTGCTAAAGGACTCAAGGAAAAGAGAGATGTGTTATCATCTAAATCACTTGACCAAGTGATACATGACCAAGTATAAAGTTGGAAACCTATTTTAATGTAACTGCTAATAATAATATTTTGTCAAAGAAAGAAGGAAAGAAGAATGGAAGGAAAGGATGGAGAAAGAGAAAGAAGGAAAGAAGGGAGGAAGGAAATAGAAAAATAAAGAAAAAGTACAAAGATTCAGTACAAAGTACAAATGCTAAACTTCACAGAAGTGGTATTGTCCCAGGCCAATGTGCACATCAGCATCACCACATTATAGTAGATACTCTAAGCTTCCACGATCACACTTTCTGCATGATATTGTACAAGTTTTTCTGACCTCCTTGTCACACACATAGTGAGCTTGCAAAAGAGGGAGTGTCTTGTTATTTTCTATAATCCTGTCATCTCCTAGAGGGCTGACAAAAATGATTAAGAAAATGAAGTTGAGGACTGAGGAAGCTCTCCACATTGATAGAATTTGTACTCAAGAACTGTGTAAAAAGGTATAAAAGCTTGCTTTCTATGATACCAATAGTCTTTACTATCACGTATAAGGACCTGGGCTATTTTTACAACCATCCACTAAGCTATGCACATCCAGAATAACTACAACATGTGTCATTAACACCTCACTGTGAATTGGCCCCTCCATGACATCTCTCCATATGTGCTGAGTCGTTTGCTGGTCTGTGATGTAGGGCTGTGCAGAAGACATCACCACTTTTCCTTTGACTAACCTCATGAAGTTCTAGACATTCTCCTAAAGCACTATTACTCTTCACTATATAAATGCTTCAATCACCACATGCATTTTAAAGTGGGTATTTTACAGAACAAGACTTTGACTTCTTCAAGAATGTTTGTTAGAACTGAAATATAACTGTGCTCTACCTCTGCTTCTGCGCTATAAGAAAATGTACTTCTCTCTGACTACTCTGGCAATAATTGGATAGAAAGAATATAGCATCAATTCCAGACTCCCTGCGCTAACTAAATGGGTTTTTCTTTTCTGCTTTTATCTTCAGCAATGCCTTTTATAGCTACCGAATAAATACAGTACATCTATGCACACTATCTTACAAAGTCAGAAAATCCATTTTTTACCATTCTGAGTTAATTTAGGAATAGATAACATGTTTTCTTTTTGGTCTTTTCTCTACTATACCTGCTATTTAAGACCTACTGAAAGTAGAGAAAGAAGATCAAAGATTCAGTGAAAATAAAGGCTCTTCAATTAATGAGAGCTTTTGCTTTTTAATGTCAAAACAGATGTCCCTTTGTAAACAATATAATTTTGTAGCCACTGCAATGGCAATAGATTAAAACAAAATAAAAACATTACAAATTGTGTCTGAGAAGATAAAACATTATTTTTTTTCTTTCCAAAATACATATTTTTAATTTCACATTAAGGCAAGTGTTCAAGCAATTAGGTCACAATGTTTGCATTTGTTAGGGAGGGTCCCTAAGCATTCTAAAGTGAAATCTTGACAATTCAGTCTATGTCTGAAGTGACTCTTATAATTCTCAAAAAGTAAATATAATATCTATTCCAATATCAAAAATGATTTGCAGTTGTTTTTCAAATCATTATTGTCTATCAGATTTGTTCTGGCCTTACTACAGCTCCCCTTTTCCACGTTATTTATTTCCTCTCTATTGGAATCGACTTTTCAAGTTCAACCTCATGGTGTCCCATGTGTGCCTAGTGGGAAATGCATCAGTGTAAGGATGTAACAGAATGCTGTATCTCTAGGGAGTAACACTGAATCAGGGGTCTACATTTCCTACAGTCCCTGGAATGGGCTGCCGGTGCTCCACTTCCTGACAGGCTGATGTGTGGAGCGCCCACT